ACTACATTTCACATATAAGCTTAAAAGCTTAAATAAGGAATTCTTGCCAAGCCTATAGTGGGTATTTTTTCCAAATTTTTTTATAATTCTAAGAGAGCAATAGTTGTGAGCTCTAGAAGGACCCAAACAATTGTGTAATTCTCGGTTTAAGACCCTGCTCTGGAATGGATCAAGAATCAATATCATATCTGAGACAAAAAATGAGGTTAGTGGTTTTTCCCAAAATTTCGAGCTGACTGAGAAGAGGTAATGCTATCGCTGACTAATATTTGAAGCAATAATAACATGATCATTCTGATGATATGATGTTCTCTTGAATAACCTTATAGCAAATCTCCCTGAGGGGTGCATTTGAACAAACAATACCTCTGATGTCATAGAGCCTTCCGTCTAGATGCATATTCAAGAGGCCAGAGCAACCTCTTGCCGCTTGATCCCCCATAACAAGAACCCTCCGTTTTCCATTTGTGTTATTGGCCGCACGACACTCAGGTGGTAGAGCAGTGACAGGATTTACCTAGTTGAGAATTATCAACTGAGCTGTTATTCAGGGCTCCTGGAGGGAAACGTGGAGAAGCCACAGCTGACTCTGAGACAACGGAAAATTTCAATGAGTTCCTAAGCTCATATAACTTTCTGCTTGCCCTCTTAAAATCTTCCACATAAACCTCGTTTTATTTTAATAAGGTTTCTATACTTGTCATAAGGTTGTCTCAAGAACACACATAAGTTCACTTATTTCTTCCATAAATCTTTTAGCTTTATCTTGCTGTGCCTGCGCCTCAGCCAGCAACTGGCTGTTCCTCTCCATCAGCTTCAAAATCTCCCTATTTAAACTTCTTTTTTCTTTTTCGAGACTACTTATCTTTTCCTCAGCAAGCCTGTCGGCAGCAACAGCTGAGTCCTGAAAATCAACAGAACTCCTCTGAAGTCGATTAATGAAATTCTCCTTCTCTTTATTGTTAGTCTTCAAATGTATTATCCTGGTCATAATTTCTTTCCTCAAGTCCTCTAATTCCTGCCCTAAATTATCAATTTGAGTATCTTTGTTGTTTGATTCTACCCTAACCCTGTCATATGCCTCCAAAAACACTTTGAAATCTGGCAGATCTTTCAAGGTTAATCTACAGTTCCCACCTCGGTTCCCACACATGAATATAATATTTCTTTGGCTGAGAGCAATTGCGTGAGCCTCTGTTGTGCTGATTTTTGCATATTTTTTGCATAATGGAACTTTACATGTATCACAATAAGCTCTGAATACTTCGACCTCATTCGGCCTGGATTTAAGTACGCAGGATCTGTTGCATTCAGAACAATTGAGGGGATTCATGATGTTTTTTTTTTATTCCAATTCCTATTTTTAAGCATCAAGAATAGAAATATCAACAAATCTACGCAGATGAAAAATTTCTTCATAAAAACTATAAAAATTTGCATAAATTCAGTGACACACTGTCCCGGAGAGTATAACTATTAAAATAATTAGCAAATTACATGTTAATAGAAGAACTAGGTGTGTAGGGTGTAGAAGTTATGAGCTATTTCAGCTATTTGCACTAGGTTTTATTTCCTTCGAGCTGTTCATCAGCAACAAGATGTCAAATCCTCCTCGTTATCAACTATATCATTATTGTATAAAATGAATGAGTCCAACACATTGTTTTCTGTTAGCTACGTAGCTCCTGAACTATGTAACACCTTTATAGTTGCACCCTCGGTTGCACCCATCTTCTCTAGCTTTGTTGGTCTATGGTTATGTGGAAAAACAACAATATTACTTTTATTGTTATTGTAGAATTTGTTCCAGTCATACAAGACAAACTGTTTAACAGTTTCACAAGTGTAGCCCTTCTGAAATCAGACTGATGTGCATTGCAGTACCACCATCTAAAGTTGGTCTTATAATTTAATTTATTATTTGCTTAAGTCAATAGTTTGCTCTTATGATTTGTATTTTTAGCCTCAATAAATGTGTCAACATTAAACAATCAATATTAATTTAATAATGAGTCTCAGAAAATCTGTTATATTGATAAATTCTCCGCACCATGTAACAGAGACGTCTAGAAAAGGTTATCACTTGTATCATTCTTATCCTAGTAGAGGACTACCAACCCTGCAAGATTTCAACTCATTTGGACTTATGATAGTACAGGGTATTTGATTATATTTGGCACCATACCTACAGCCTTTACTATTTAAGATAGAAAAAAAATTTAAATACAAAACTTGACAGTTTTTTTCTATATTTTCTTTTGACAGTATCAGAAAAAACAAAATCGCATCGGAAAATGGAGAAACGTAGGCAACTTCTACTTTTTTCAATGGAACACCCTGTATATTATGCAATAAAATTAAAGATCTTTTCTTCCTGATTCCAAATATATATATACTGATCATATTTGAGTGAGTCGTTTTTGATATATCTTAGCTTAAATTTTAAATAAAATCCAAAGGAATTTTATGAAGATTCCAATGTCTTGACATCCTTATGAAATTTCTTTGCAAATTTAAGCTAAAATATTTCAAAAACGGTTCACTCAAATGTGCTCAATATACACTGCTCAACAATTGAAGTGGATATTTTAAAATTTTGTATTTATTTTGTCGATACTTCAAAGAAAAGTAAAAAATCATGTAAAATAAAAACATTTTATTGATTGATTATATCACCCCAGAAAAAAAAACAATTTTTAATGCAAAATTTAACATTTAAAAGAAAACTGTTTAAATTGGGAGGAGTAACAACACAAAAAAAATCTTGTATCGCAAAATTCACAAAATCCCTATAAAAAATTAATATCGTGTTGGACCTCCTCTGGCCCGCCTTAGTACTGTCACTCTATTCGGAAGGCTCATTATCAAATTATTGATGAATTGCTGAGGTATGATTTGCCAAATTGCCTGCAACTCATTAGCCAACTGTTCTAGGGTTTGGGGAGGTTGTGGAATCCGGTTTAATCGCCTAGACATTTCGGCCCAAACATGTTCGATACAATTCATATCTGGTGAACAGGGTGGCCACTCCATTCTTGTGATTCCATGATGTTCTATGCGATCGTTCACAATTCTCGCACGATGCGGACGGGCATTATCATCAATTAATACAAATTGTTCACCTATTGCACCGAAAAATGGGACGACTATCGGCTCTATAACCATGTCTCGATATCGTATGGCAGTCATTGTCTCATTAATTAAGATCACTAAATCAGTGCGACCATTATGACATATGCCTCCCCAAACGCAAACTGACCCACCACCAAAAAGAGTTGTCGGGGCCATTAAATGTTCACTGTATCGCTGTCCTCTTTCTCGCCAAACCAATATTCGACCATCACACGTATACAAACGAAATCTAGACTCGTCGGTAAAGAGGCAGTGCCTCCAATTTTCAACAGTCCAAAGACTATGGTCTCTCGCCCAGCGATATCGGCATGCACGCTGCTCCGCCGTCATTCTTGGGTGGGTAGCGCGACGTCTAGCCCTCAAGTTACATGCGTACAATCTTCTTCTGATAGTTTGACCAGAAATCACTCTTCCAATAGCTTGTCTGAAAAAGCTGTTAATTCTTGAAGCCGTGAATGTTCGGTTTCTTCTTGCAGTCAGGACTATGAAGCGGTCTTGAGCAAGAGTTGTAGCTCGTTCCCGTCCTCCACCATGTGTGTACGCTGCAGACCCAGTTGCTAAATACCGATTCCACGCACGACTCACGACACTTTGAGACACATTCAGCCGCACGGCGACTTCTTCTTGAGACAAACCTTCCTGTTTCCAACGCAATAATTGCTCGAGTTGCACTGCTTCTAATCGTCGTAACGGCATTATTCTTTAAGCAAATACGCAAAACTATTGATAACAGTAGCAAAATCAAGTGTGTACAAGCGGTTCTGTAGAACTGATACTTTCAAATTTTAAAACAATATTCCTGCATATTTCCGTGAAAGAGATAAGGGAGAGAGAGCATCGACAAAAAACAATAAACATGCAAAAAATATTCGCCATAAATACTATTTATTGATAAAATAAAACACGTCTTTTTTTTCATATTCTCAAATGTAGATTTCAGGATTTTTGCAATTATCCAGTTCAATTGTTGAGCAGTGTATATATATATATATAAAGTCTCTCTCTGTAACTATTTAATATTTTAATATGTTGTATTGTCCCATTTACACAATCTTTCATCCTTTCTCAATAATTTTTAACAAGCTTATTATGTATTAATGACTAATAATTAAGTTCTCACTGTCCTCGATGCTAATGGAACAGATCAATTACACAACATTTATCTTTAATAATCTCACCAAAGATGTAAGTTACATTATATTATTGTCTTATTGTCTTTAACATGTATATTGATCCATAGTTCCCTGAAGATGATAATAAACATTATCGAAAGCTCGGATAAACTTTAAAGAGTACACTTTATTTTTGCTGCATTCCCCAAATCGATTCCCAAAATTGTCTTCGTACTTGTCAGCAACAACGTCCATTCTTCTTATATATATATATATATATATATATATATATATATATATATATATATATATATATATATATTTGGAATCAGGAAGAAAAGATCTTTAATTTTATCGCATAATATACAGGGTGTTCCATTGAAAAAAGTTGAAGTTGCCTACGTTTCTCCATTTTCCGATGCAATTTTGTTTTTTCTGATACTGTCAAAAGAAAATATAGAAAAAAACTGTTTTGTATTTAAAAATTTTTTCTATCTTAAATAGTAAAGGCCGTAGGTATGGTGCCAAATATAATCAAATACCCTGTACATAAAGAAAAAATCGCGTTAAGGAGGTGAATTTTTGGATTTTTCAATTTTCCTGAGGTGTTCAATTTTCCTGAGGTCCTATTTTTAAAGATTTCGGCTTCAAATGCCACAATAAATCACTGTATGGAGTTTCTTGCGATGTTTTACCAGGTATTTTCTGAGATATTACCACTTTGTCAATTATTACTAGTATTACTAAGTATTACCCATGTATTTCTTGTAAGTATTTCAAAAAAGCAAAGTGTACAGTGATTTTCTAGGTGGTACGCCTCGAGATTATTATACATTTTCAGTGGCATATAGGTGTCTGCGAGGCAATAATAAATTAGTACAATTGTAATGAATCTTGAACTGGAAAAAACTCCTAGCTCAGAGCATGCAATGACAAAATGGCTAGAAAAAATAAACTACAAAAACTCACTATGTCGGATAGGTACCCATCTACCTACAGGGTGACAACTGAACAAGGGCTTATTAAAAAAGAGCGTACACAACCCTTAGATTATGGCTGGTCTTCTGTATGTATTAGGAAAAAATTCAAACTGGAAAAACAATGTGTGTAATCTTTGTTTATTTACGACTAATGTATAATGTGCGCATTATATTTGTGATTTTGGCAGTATAATGACATATGTTATTCCTCCAGGGATTAATGACGAGTAGCGGGATTAATGGTCATTATTCCACAAAAGTGTCAGTGTCAAACGTGTAGTGCTTGTGGATTTGTATTGAAAATTATGAGACGGATGAAATTTGTTCATTGAAAATCTCAAATAAATTAATTTGTCGTAAATAAAGTAGAGTATACTACTCGCAATAATGGCTATTATTCCCTCGGAATGTTACTCCCTCGCCGCTAACGCGGCTCAGTTCGTAATAATCCTCGGAAATAATAGCTATCATTATTGACTCATGGTATAATCTACTATTATTCACGACTAATGTCACCCCCAGGGAATAATGGCGAGTAGCGGGATTAATAGTCATTATTCCGCAAAAGTGTCAGTATCGAATGTGTAGTGCTTGTGGATTTGTATTGAGATAGATGAAATTTGCTATCAAAAATCTCAAATAAATTAATTTGTCGTAAATAAAGTAGAGTATACCACTCGCCAGAGTTGCACCTATATATAAAAAAGGGGAAGCTACCGATCCTGGGAACTACAGACCCATATCTCTTCTGCCTTCCATATCAAAAATTGTTGAAAAATGCCTTAAAATCCAGATGTCTGAACATATGGATAATGGAGGATTCTTAAATGCAAATCAGTTTGGTTTTAGAGAGGGAAGAAATACTACTTTGGCAGTTTTGGGGCTGGGTTGAGATTGTAATGGGTTTTGAGAGCACTCATTACATAGTTTCTACTTTCTGTGACCTGAGCAAGGCTTTCGACTGTGTTTCTCATGACATTTTACTGGACAAATTACCCTACTACAAATTTTCAAATAACAGCATAAAACTGATAGAGTCGTACTTAACAAATCGCCAACAAATTGTTAATTTTGATAACACAGTATCAGATAAACAGCAAATCAATGTTGGTGTACCACAGGGATCAATCTTGGGACCAATATTGTTTTTGCTTTACATAAATGATCTTCCCAACATTGCTCTGGATGAAATCTATTACAACTTTGCAGGCGACACGACTACACAAACCAAACACACTGACCTACTGATTGCCACTGAAATTTCGGGGGAGGCACAGTCGAGAGCTAGGAAATGGTTCTCAGCAAATAAACTTTTCCTAAACGAAGCCAAGACACAAAACTTCGTTTCTTCACTGAAAAGAACTGAGGCAGTGACTGGCAGTGTCAAGTTTCTTGGAGTTTCACTAGATTAGAAATTACTGTGGGATGCCCATACCGAAATCCAATAAACTAAGCAAAAATGCATTTCTTCTGAGAAATTTGTCATTGTGTGTTTCTCCTGAAATTCTAAAACAAGCTTACTTTTCTATCTTCCATTCAAACTTAAGTTATGCACTATTAGGTTGAAGCCATTCAAGCGGTTCCCGCAGAGTCTTTGCCATGCAAAGGCAAGCCATAAGAATAATAGTAGGATTGAAATTACAGAGATTATTGTAAACAAGCTTTTGTTGACCTCAAAGTTTTGACTCTCCCAAGTGAATACATCTTACAGAACTTTATGTACGTCAGGTACGGTGATAACAGATTTATCCGGCATAGTGATGTTCATGATTATGACACAAGAAATAGAAATAACTTACAACCTATTTACCATCGTCTACATAGGTGTCAAAACGGCCCTGGATATCATTCTATAAATTTCTTCAATAAAATTCCCAGGGTTGGCAGGATATATATCATCGATAAATATCCTGATATATATCTTGATAAATATCATGATATTTATGCTATGTATATCAATATTAACTGTTTGGCCTTCTTTTCTTATTTTATAGTTTTATTATTTTATGCCTCCAAAGGTATAAATATTAAGCCTGAATATTTGAATTACTTCTATTGCACGGTGGCCAGTGAATTGACGAAGAATCTTAAGGTGACAAAAAATCCACTTGGTTTCTTACCTGCATTCTCTTGTGCAGAAAACTTTCAGCTATTTCCGACGGACAGAGATGAGATTTGGGGGGTTATGACCGGCATAAAAAAACAAAACTCATCGGGAGTTGATGGAGTGTCTTTGAAACTGCTTAGATATCTTCCAGTTTCTGCACTTGATGCTCTTACTGACTGTATGAATCATTCATTTGAAACGGGTTCTTTCCCAGACTGCTTGAAGCTGGCTGTAGTTGTCCCTGTCTTTAAGGGTGGAGAAATTAATGATCCGTCGAGTTGCCGTCCAATATCCTTGCTCACAACAGTCTCAAAAATTATTGAAAAAATAGTTAAGAAAAGGCTAGTTGATTACCTGAAAAGGAACAACATTCTAACACCAGATCAGTTCGATTTTCAAGAGCAAAAGGGGACAAACGATGCCATTTTTTCCTTTATGGAGAGGCTTTTTCTGGGCCTTAATGATGGAGAGACGGCTGCGGCGGTATTTTGTGATTTCTCTAAAGCTTTCGATTGTGTAGATCACGAAATACTGCTGCAGAAACTGAGTCACTATGGGATAAGGGATGGGGGGTTGAGATGGTTTAGGTCGTACCTTGCGGAGCGCAGTCAGCTTGTAGGGATTGTCAATTGTGAAGACTCGGGGTTGCAAAAGTTAATAGTCCAGGAGGTGGCGCCAAAAACATGCAAGAGTTTTCGCAAGGCGGATATTTTCAAAATAGGTCGTACTTTAGTGCTAGAATGCTAGTGTACAGTCAGCACTCACAGTTCCGGGACAGCTGGCTCTGGGACGCGGGCAAAGTTGTAATTTTAAGAAGCATCTAAACTGTTTTCTCAAAGCTCAAAATTTATAGAAATTTTGCACATTATCTGTTTGAAGGTCATAGATAACGTATGTAAATCGTCAGACGTCTAGTTCGTTGCAAAAAGGGGGTCAGACGTCCTCAAAGTTCTTATTTTATGGCATTTTCTTCGGTGTCCTGTCAAAATATATTTTTGCAGGTATTTGACAAATATATTTGAAGAAAATGCCATAAAATAAGAACTTTGAGGACGTCTGACCCCCTTTTTGCAACGAACTAGACGTCTGACGATTTACATACGTTATCTATGACCTTCAAACAGATAATGTGCAAAATTTCTATAAATTTCGAGCTTTGAGAAAACAGTTTAGATGCTTCTTAAAATTACAACTTTGCCCGCGTCCCAGAGCCAGCTGTCCCGGAACTGTGACTGCTGACTGTACACTAGCATTCTAGCACTAAAGTACGACCTATTTTGAAAATATCCACCTTGCGAAAACTCTTGCATGTTTTTGACGCCAGCTCCCCAACTATAACTCACGGAGTTCCGCAGGGTTCTGTACTTGGTCCAGTACTCTTCCTCCTGTATATTAATGACTTGGCTACTTTGAGAATATCTGGATCATTCACCATTTTTGCAGATGACACGACTGTATTGTGGAAACATAAAAATGAAATCCTTCTTAGTCAGATATTCGAAAATGACCTGTCAAGGCTTAAGGAATGGTGCGATTCAAATCGACTTGTGTTTAATGTTTCGAAGACCAATATTCTCACCTTTAAATGTTCCCTTGAAAATATAATGCTTCTCAAATCCACATTGGAGAGCAGAGGTGCGGTCAAATTTCTTGGTATGCATATTGACTCAAAACTCAAGTTCGATGTGCATATCGATCAACTGAACAAAAAATTAGCTCAAGGGTGTTAGATAGTGAAATCCATTATGCAAGAGCTAGGGAAGCGTGCAGCCAAATCTGCATACTATGCACTAATCGAATCAAATTTGAGATATGGCATACCATTCTGGGGTTTTTCTGGGCAAAGCACAGTTCATTCGGTTTTCAAATTACAAAAGAGAGCACTCAGGTATTTATGTCGGGCTGGCTGTAGGCAGAGCTGCAGGGCACTGTTTGAGCAGGAGGCTGTTCTAACTGTTCCGGGTATTTTTATTTTGGAGACGTCTTCATTAATTTTTAAGAAATTTAAGGGTAATTCTAGAGAAACACATTATAATCTTAGGCAGAGTAATTTGCCTCTGCCCATACACAAGTCTTCAATAACAAAAAATTCTGTTATATACGAGAGTATAAAGATTTTTAATAAGTTACCTCATGAAATAAAGAGTATTCATGAGCTTAAAATATTTCGAGAACAACTTAAAATATATTTGATTCGAAAGGTGTTTTATACTCTCCAGGAATTTTACGATTCATCCTAATTAGTCCTAAATTTTGTTAGTTTGTGATTATATTTGTTAATTTTATGATTTGTTTTATACAGGGTGTCCCACGGTGGATGGCGTATTAGACGTTTATGGAGAACTAAAAAGCGGATCGTTTTGAAAATTTGGCAACCGGGATAAATGACCGTGATCTACACTTTAAAAATATTTTTGTTTATGCGGTGTTGCCGCTTCTACTCTAAACCAGTGGCAACATCGCTATTTTAAATGAAACACCCCGTATTTAATTGCATATTTGGATTCTACATAAAATTCTGAGCAGATTTCATGTGATATTCCCTATACCTACATAAGTTCAACTGTTTTGGAAATATTGACAGTTGAAAATTGACTTTTTGCAACTTTGGCAAGCTGTAAAACCTGAACGGTTTATTTTAGAGAAAAACCGATTTTACATTCCTATCTTAGATTTTTATAAACTATCATTTGACACCAATTTTGAATTTAATCCATGATTAAAAATTCCAATTAAATTTAATCTCCGGTTAAATTCAAAGTTGGTGTCAAATGATAGTTTACGAAAATCTAAGATAGGAATGTAGGATCGGTTTTCCTCTGAAATTAACCGTTTAGGTTTTACAGCCTGTCAAAGTTGCAAAAAGTCAATTTTCAACTGTCAATATTTCCAAAACAGTTGAACTTAGGTATAGGGTATATCACATAAAATCTGCACAGAATTTTACGTAGAATCCAAATATGCAATCACATACAGGGTGTTTCATTTAAAATAGCGATGTTGCCACTGGTTTAGAGTAGAAGCGGCAACACCGCATAAACAAAAATATTTTTAAAGTGTAGATTATGGTCGTTTATCCCGGTTGCCAAATTTTCAAAATGATCCGCTTTTTAGTTCTCTATAAACGTCTAATACGCCATCCACCGTGGGACACCCTGTATTTATATTTATATTGGTTCATATTCTTGTGATATTTTATTATTTTTGTTATTTTAGTTGTGTCTGTTAGTGGCATTCTGATATTTAATTAGTGTCACTTGTATTGATATTTTAACGTGTTTCATAAGCATAATTGTAATAATTGAAGATTTATTTGCTCTTTTTGTTCCTATTGTTTAAAAAAAATAAAATACGCACATATATATATTGTTAAGGGTGAATGCGGAGTGTGTCCTCTGAATAGTAGTTTACTCGGTAGTTTAGGTTAGGATAAGTCGCTTTGTCAATGGATCTTTTTGAATTTATGACAATAAAGCTTTTTTTGATTTGATTTGATGTTGAGAAGTTTAACAGCCGTAGTAGTATATTTATGAGGAGGAAATCACAGGGATCTCGGCCAAAACAGTCTATAATACGTCATGTATCAATTATTATTTTATTTATTTTTATTTGTGTATAAGAAATATCAGATTTTTTAGGGCGGGTAGTATGAAACTATTTTCACAGATAACTAAATGTTAACTTCTGGAATTACATACTATGAGAAGTACCATAATTCCAGAAGTTAACTTCTAGTTATTCTGTCAAAATAGTTTTATAATATCCGCCCTAAGATGTAGTATTCTTTTTGTTGATGACTTCAGAGTTGTCATTTTTTTGTTGTTGTTGAACCCCGTCTTAAGGTAAACATGAGTGACATACATGTTTTCATATTCTTAAACTAGAATTTTTATTCACCTACTACACTTTACATTCTTATACATATGTATAGGAGATAGGAGAACTAAAACTTGTTATCAAAATACCAACTTCACATTGTAACATTTTATTAAATTTACCATAAAGTTATTTTGAATTTTAATAATATAGATAACAAAGAACAGATAAACTAATTTAATTTAAGTAGGTGATTAAAAATATAAATAAATATCCAAATTTTGATATATATCTGATATACATATATCGATATACATATATCGGATAATTGGATATTTATATAAATATCATGATATTTGCCAAACCTGAAAATTCCAGAACCCCTAAAAAATCTTAGCAGAATCCAATTTAGGAGGAAAGTTAAAGACTTGCTAATTGAATGTGCATTTTATTCAATAGAAGAATTCAGCAACTCCACACTTGTTTGGGTAGGGAATAAATTGCTATCACTGTGATAAGTGGAATAACTTGCTGCAACATTTTTTCAATGCCGTCTTAACCTAATGTTTGTATTATTTCTGATGTATTGCGTCTTCAAAAAAAAAAACCTATCAAACAGTGCTTTCAAGAAGTTCATTGAGAAAATTTAAGGAAAATATTGCTAAGACATACGTTTGAAAACCCATAGCAATCTTGATTGTTTTTTTTTTTGAAGTCCCGATATTTTAATGTGTTTTGATTTCTATTTTATTTTGAAGTGTTTGAATGTTTTTTAAATTGTGTTATTATAATATTTAAGAAAGTGTTAAATGTAAATTTTAAGCTACTTTGTGGTTTTTTTTTTTTAATGAAATGTACTATTATTTTTGACATGTGTAAGCACATAAGTGTAAATGGCACGAATTAAATGATTTGACTTGAATAATGGCTATTTGGAATGATAGCTATCATTATTAACTCGTGGTATGATCTACTATTATTTCACTTTTTGAAAAGTATATGTTCAGAATCATTTTTCCGTTTTTGATTGACTTTCATAGAAACGTAAATGAAGTTGAATATTTACCCAAGTATTTACCCAATAGTTTGTATTTTCTAGTAAGTACTGCTTAAGCAACCGTTCAGTACCTTTTTCCAGCTTTTTAAATTATATTTTTGTTGCGATAATAAACAATAAAGTTCTATTTGAATTTGACATTGTTTCACACTGGCTAAAAGAACTTATGATAACCATCCAGATAAACTTTCAAAACTAATTATTTAACATTTTCAAAAAAAGAATACATATTATGAGACACTCTTTGAAAGATATTACTAGAATCAAGAGTAGAACACTATTAAAAATATAACAAATCAGCCATACACTGTGTCCAAATAAAATCAATCAAAACACAGGAAGGCCAAGTACATAGTTATGAGTCTCTGGGATATATCTACTAAATCTAACCAATGAGATACCTAGGTGAATATCTTTGCCAAGTTTTCATCGATTATTAAAAAAAAAACACACTATTTAAGACATCTGTGTTAATGGAACTGAAATTCTTTTCAGCCATGACTTGCTAGCAGTTTGCAGAGAGCTATCATTAGAAGATTCTTTGGATGAACTTATGCAAGAGTTAGGAGCAGATTCTCAGGGTAGAATATCCTATGAGCAGTTCTTGAATAGAAGACTAGCTTTGAGGCCAGAGATTGATGCTTTGAAAGTCACTAATAAGGATACTGTTAGTGACAATAGCCAAGGTAATTTAATTTATTATAATAAAATATTGGTATAACTTCGACTATATTACATAACTTAAATTCTAGGTAAGTTGGACAGCTGGGAATGGGATTCTGGAGCAAGGGATATGAGTCCTGTACCAAAAAACATCATCAAGAAGTTCAACACAGAACGAATTATGGATGAAGAATACTTCAAGGTAAGTCGAATTTTCAATTTTATTAATTTAACAAACATAAAAACACTAATAATTTATATCATAATCGAGCATTCTTCTAGAAATAATCCACCATACATTTAGAAAGCCAACATCTAAAATTCTTCCTGTTATTTTATAAAAAGGAACTTTAAGGTATGAGCAGTTGCTCTCATATAAATCGCATTCTTCACTAAATTTATCTACCCATATTAATGATAAAAGTCCAAGGTTTGTATATCTTATATATTTTCGATTGAAACATTGTTCAATGTGTTTTAAATGTTCTACTGAATTTGGGTTCGCTAGAGTAAGAGGTACTAAACTTAGATCGTTGGCTGATGCTATATATGTTGCCCTGAAACTGAAAACAAAAATAAAATCAATACAATGTAAATCAATGATCAATCAAATAAAATTATTGACTAATTTGTTAGTTGGTAGTAACTAAATAAGTGGTACTACAAAATAAGTGTCTTATTGTAGTAGGTAATGCCATTATGTGTTTAAAGATGTAGCCTGTTATGATAAGATACCGTATTGAATAAAGTTACCTTTGCAAGTTTGGGTTTAACTCCCAACACAAACCGAATAAAGCTGCTCCAGTAAAATACACAATAGTTTTTAGAGGTTTGTCTTTAATTTCTTGTTTAACAGATAAACCTACTTCCTTGTAATCTTTGGTAACAAGTTTCCAATATTTTACCCATTTTTCAACTATGGTTCCCTTTATTTTCTCATTGAATTTCTCACTTTTGGAATTCCAGTTTTGGATTGCTTTTGTTGTGAAAAATCGGTGACCTAGTTTATGAAAATAAGCCATGATTTATTTGATTATTTTTTATTTTTTTGTCAACTTAAAAATTTAAGAATTTCATCTTTTTGATTTTTTTTTTGAATTTATTTTTCTAACCTAAAAAAATTAATGCTCATGTCTAATCGCTGACAGCTGACTGGAGGATTTTCAGGGATTTGCTTTGGTTGCGTCGAGATTGTAATTGTACTAAACTGGTTTGCATGTGGAGTGATTCTGAGAGAGATAGGTATAGTGTAGTATATTAAAAGATTATTTCAAAGTACTATTATAATTAATTTAATTTTTTTAATTATGTTCTGCAGCATAACTGATTCCAGACTTTGGAAATAATGGTCTCTAGCCATGTTTTTCTGAGATTATTTATTTATTTACAGTAGTGTCATCCAGTCATTTTTTTAATGTAAAGTTCCTTAGGTTATTAACTTCATTATCTTTCTCGTGGAAACTTTTGCGTCATTATTTCATCATATTCTTTTCCATTTTGTAATAAATTAATCTCATTGTTTTATTTTTCTTATAAACGCTGCCATTAACTTCAACTTCTTATTCTGGTATTTCCAATGGTTCCTTATGATTTTTTAATTCCAATACTTCACACAACAAAGTCGTGATCTCCCTTTTAAAAAAAATAAGCTATTTATTTAGTGTATAGTGTTTTAATAGCACTAGACAGCAACTTTCAGTCTTCGATTATACCGACTGCAAACTTTATTGAATTTAAGCAAATATGGATCCAATATAGTACAGGGTGTCCCATGACGTTTTTCCCAGGGGTTAACTTCGGAACGCGTCATCCAATATAATTGAAATTTTGAGAATCTGGGTAACTTTTCGTGCCGCTTCTACCATTATCATCCATTTTCACCACTTTCGCTTCAATTTCGGTCAAGTGACGTCAACTTTCGAATTTTAAATGTAACTCATGGTATATTATGGCATTTTTCGTTAGAAAGTTATGTTACAAAATCGGAAATGCCCAGCCATATTTGTTAGGGCTTTGTTGAAGAAAATGATAAAAAATTATACAGTGGAACATACAATGATGCGTTCCGAAGTTATCATTTGGGAAAAACCTCGTGGGACACCCTGTATATCTATCACGGTTCTGAGATGGTTGGTAATCAAAATTCACCCCAAAATCAACAATTTTTCCGACCACAAAAGTTCAATCAAAATTTTGCACCAAAACCATCATGGCCCTCTCAACCCATAAATATTCAGCCTAGGCAAATGCCACCGCAAAGGTTCCCTACAAATAGTCAAGTATTCGGTCCTCCACGAAATGTCTTCAAACCGAGTGAAATTCCAACCAACCAATTGTCAAAACCAGAACCAATGTCAACAACTTCCATAAACCCTTCGTTCAGAACAAACAGAACTATTTTCAATAATAGAAAACCTCCGAATTTCACTTTCGAAGAATTATATAACAAAGAAATTGACGAGACTGAAGTAGAGTTCACCTCCAATTATGAAAAACCTTCATTCAACAACTTCGACTCTTATTATAATACAAGTGAAAATATTATTCCTGAAAATGCAAATGAAGAAAATTTCACAGAAAGTGTAAATTATCCGAAAGCAAGCCTAGAAAATCTCACGACCTAATAGAAATAAATATTGCTTCAAACAACGCATCACCATTCATTTAAATCGAAAATCCCAACGTAAAATTGTTAATTGACACCGGCAGTACCCGTTCAATATTAAACCCTGCCATAGCAGAAACCTTTTATCCACAGTGTATACACCATGCACGTGTCATAAAAACGGCTATAGGAAGTCGATGAGCAAACTTTCGAGCTTTAATTCCTATAAGTATTTTCAGATTCTGGTATTGATAGTAAACTAGATTTTATCCTTTTTGATTTTCATGATTTCTTTGATGGTATAATAGGTATTAACGAGGGGTAGGTCGCTTCCCAATTAGGTGTACAAATGTTGAAATGCAATTGAAAAAATACATTTAATTACCTCAATTACGTTCAATTACATTTAATTACACTCAATTACAAATAATTACAGTCAATTACATTCAATTACAATTCAATTACATTCAATTACATTCAATTACGTTCAAATACCGCTCAAATACATTTTATCAATTACATTCAATTACATTCAATTATATTCAATTACGTTCAATTATATTCAATTACGTTCAATTACATCCAATTACATTTAATTACATTCAAATACTTTCAATTACAATCAATTACTGTCAATTAGATATAAATACATGCCCTCTCCATCGTCCATCTTTATTTTAAATAAAAAATAATTACCTACATTTAATTATATTCAATTACATTCAATTACACCCAATTACACCTAATTACATCAATTACATTCAATTACGTTCAAATACATTTAATTATATACATTCAATTACATTCTGAATTACATTCAATTACAAACAAATACATTCAATTACATACAAATACATTCAATTACAAAAAAATACATGTAATTGAATGTATTTGTAATTAGGTGTACAAATTCTATTGAGTGACCTACCCCTGGGGTATTAATGATCTAATGAAATTGAATGTAAATATTGATCTAACAAATAAAAGATTAATTGGTCCTAATCTAGGAATACCCTTCAATTATTATTGAGCCCCCTTTAGTTTTTATTTTATTTGGTCAGCAAAACCTCAATATATCCTGATAAATGGAAGGTAGCCAAGGTCATACCAATTTATAAGAATGGCATAAGGCAAGACATTAGAAACTACCGCCCTTTATCTATTGTGTGCGCTGTATCTAAAATATTTGAGGTCATAATTTTTGAGATTTTATATAACGAAGTTGCAGCAAAACTTTCCCCCAATCAGCATGGTTTTTTGCCAAAAAAGTCAACATTTACCAATCTGGCATGTTTTTCACAATATATCCATAATGCCTTAAACAACAAAACGCAAGTTGACGTAATTTATACAGACATGGAGAAGGCATTTGATAGAGTTAGTCACTGTGTGATAATAAATGCCTTGTCCGACATGGAAGTTTCTCCATTTTTAATTAAACTTACAAGTTCATACATAACCGGCAGATTTCAATATGTTGAGATTAAAGGCTGCAAGTCTGTTCTATACCAGAGTACGTCGGGAGTACCCCAGGGATCTAATTTGGGACCATTACTTTTTATAATTGCTATAAACAGCATTCTCAGCAATGTTAAGGGCTGTATGGCCCTTTTGTTTGCCGATGATTTTAAACTTTTTTTCGAGATTATTTCTTCTATTGATTGTGAATTGTTACAAAACGAATTTTCTAATGTTGTGAATTGGTGTCAAGAAAATAGTTTCAAGTTAAATTCAAGCAAGTGTGCTTGTATGTCTTTTACACTTAATAAGAAACCAATAGATTTTAATTATACCATGAGTGGCGAAAAACTTATTATCTAAATTATGTAATAAATATTCGGATATATTCTTAAAACCATGCGATAAACTCACATTTACGACATCCCGGCTCATACGAAAACTTATCGTTTTCCGTACGTACATAAAGATGAAGTGCAAAGACAAATAAACGAAATGTTAGATAAAGGCATTATACGTCCATCCTGTAGTCCGTGGTCAAGTCCAATTTGGATTGTGCCAAAGAAAATGGACGCTTCGGGTAAAGTAAAATGGAGAATTGTTTGCGATTATAGAAATCTAAATGCTAAAACAATTAATGATAAATATCCAATTCCCAATATGAACGACATCCTAGACAGGTTAGGTAGAGCTCAATATTTTTCGACGCTCGATTTAGCTAGTGGCTTTCATCAAACCGAAATAGAAAAAGATTCTATTGAAAAAACTGCTTTTTCAGTTGATAATGGACATTATGAATACCTAAGAGTGCCCTTCGGTTTAAAAAATGCCCCCTTCCACTTTCCAGAGAGTTATGGATGAAGTCCCAAAAGAACTCCAAAACAAAATCTGTATGGTCTTTATGGACGACATAATAGACCTGTCTCGCATGATTAGAAAAAGAGAGCTTAATTGTAATAAATACAAGTTAGAAAGCAATAAAAGATGACATGCGCGCGCAACTCGTAGGCTGCAGTGAAGCCAGATTGTATTGTTGCAGAACAAAATGTAGACATACAAATCGAACATTATAACATTAAAGGAGTGATATAGTGTCAAGTGTTTTACAACGCCTTAAATCAGACAAAAGAAGAGCTTTAAAGTGGATGAACATCGTTTGCACTTTTATTTTGATAAATGGTTCATCTGGCAACATCGCTCGATGAAATTTCAAAGGAATATGTCAAGTAGGGATGCGCACGATGTATCGATGTTTTAAAAACATCGATTTTCTTATTTCGATGTTCGATGTTTATATCGATGTTTTTTTATTCGATATTATTAGAGAACATCGATATTTTTTTGCGATGTTTTTTCGATGTTTTCTTCAAAATACTACACCAGTACTTTCAGTCCCTTAGCAAAATTTGATGAAAATCTATTTGTTAAACATTGGGAAGAAATAAAGAGTGTATATCTGCGACTATCGAAAATAGCTTCAAAATACTTTTTTGTAGCAGCTTCGGTTCCAAATGGGAGACTATTTTCAAATAAAAGGACAAATTTTGACACAACACAAGAATTATATGGAAAAGGAAAAAGATTAGTCAAAATTGCTGTTCTTGGATAATAATTGTGATTCTAATATGATTGTTACTCGTATTCATATCATTTAGGTTGAGTATCTAACCAGATTTACTCCCTAGTGCTTAGGTCTTGCTATTGTTTGCTTTCAAATGTACTTTTTCTTCATTAAAAATCGTATATTTAGTGCATGTATGTATACTAAATTAAAAATACATAAGTAGGTTAAGTAAAAATCATATTCTACTTATTAACAGTTTAATTTTTTCTTACCATATTTTCAAAAACATCGATGTTTAGAAACATCGATATTTTCAAGCCGATGTTTTTACAACATCGATTGTGGATATTCGATGTATCATTTGATGTCAACATCGATGTTTTCAAAATTTTGCGCATCCCTAATGTCAAGTATAATCTAACATAACCTTAAACGAAACTGCGGTGAGTTCAAGTTATATGTGAAGTATTAGTTTGCTCTTTGTCAAATTACACGTTACAAAGAAAGAAAGAACGATTGATTCTGAACTGGCCCCTGAATAAGAATATGACGCAAGCCTGTCACAAACTTGCTTCTCATTGGACGCTCACCTGCAGCCTACAAGCGACGCGCGCAGTCCAGGTAATAGGAGATCCGTCTATTATTTTCAGTACAGGATTGCAGTGGCGGCTCGTATATTAAAAATGTGGGGGTTGCAATTTCAATGGTTCTTACCATCAGAAAAAAAAAATCGGTTGATTAACGACTACAGAATGGCACGGCAATTAAATTTTGAACAGAATTCATCACGACAAAACTTCACAAAACAAACCTAATCTGCGCTGCGAGCTTAAAAATAAAGAAAGTTTGCACTTCGCCTGCAACCTGCTGGAGCCTATGTATGGGACGGAATTGGAATCCACGCATAGATAGGCGACCAAATGTGCACCGTCATATATTAGATAGGTTTGCTTTCGAGCTGCAATCCAGCGACTCGACGCCGCTACTCGAAGCTGGCGGCGGCGTATCAGTTGTTGATATTTTGGCGGAGGTGGTCAAATTATTTTAATAATTGACTGCGTATTATCATTGTATCAGTCAATACTTATTCACACGCTCAATCACGATAATATAAAAATTACGGAATAACTATCTAACAAACAGACGATTTAAACGAATGCATGTAGAATACCGACTTATTTGAAAAATATAGGTATTTATAAATAAAATGACATCATAAAATCCTTTCATAAAACCACCCTGAAAATATAAGAGCCTTTATAATTAGTCAAGATCATTTCTAGGCTACGCCTACAACCACCGAGGGTACAATTTGTTGCACACCCTCTATTGTTAGTCAGGTCAGCTAAAATTACATTATGGATGTATTTCTTGGTGAAATTTCAAAAATAGATTTGCCATTTTGGCACAACAATTGACCTGTCATTAGTTCTCGTCCTCCCCTGTAGGTGGAGACGTTCAACTGGGGACGATAGCTCGGGGAGAATTTTTACCACGGGGATTATCTTACTAGAGCCTTTTTATACAATGGTATTATGTAGGTCCCGAATTTTGGTATAATTTATTTTTTAAATATAATTAGGTACTAAAATTTAGTTCTACTATTTTTGTTTTATATTTTTTAAGTTTTGTTTTGGGGGTTGCGCAAACCTGCAAACCTATGGAAGAGCCGCCACTGCAGGATTGCAACACATTCAAAATTTAGGATTAGCATTTTCCAAATTAAGAGAAGCAAATTTCAAAATACAACTTGACAAAAGTGAATTTTAAATAAAAGAAGTTGAATTTTTAGGTCATGTTGTCACAAAAAATGGTATCAAACCAAACCAGATTCATAGAAAATTTCGCGAAAAAAACAAAAACTATGACTAAATGTTTGAAAAAAAACGCAAAGTTTGAACACACTAAAGAATTTCTAGAGTGTTTCGACACATGCAAGAAAATTTTAACATCAGAACCCGTACTAGCCTACCCCGATTTTTCTAAACCATTCGAAT